GAGATACTAAACAACAAGATAACAAAGATACTATGAACAACAAGAGATACTAAAAATCATCGAAGAGTACTATAGAACATTATATAGTCGAGATGATCACATTCCCGAAGTAGAAATTCCAGCAATACTAAATCAAGGGTCAGAGGAACTTCCAGATATAACCGAAGAGGAAATTAAGTCAGCATTAAAAGTATGAAGAACAACAAAACACCTGGAGAAGATGGCATTGTAAGTGAAATGATAAAACTAGGAGGCGAATGCGTCATAAAGGCTTTAAAAACCCTTTATAATGCCTGCCTCTTTGAAGGAAATACGCCAGAAAATGGAATAATGCCATTATGATAATATTGCATAAAAAAGGAGATGTAACAGAAATTGGCAACTACAGACCTATCAACTTATTATCTCATTTATATAAACTCTTTATGAGAATAATTACTAACAGACTGGGACCTAAGCTAGATTTTCATCAACCTCTAGAGCAGGCCGGATTTAGGAGTGGCTTTGGAACAAATGACCACCTACAAGTAATAAAATCCTTGATAGAGAAAGTTATAGAATACAACAAGCCATTGATATTAATATTTGTAGACTTTGAGAAAGCATTTGACTCAGTCTAGCATAGCTCCATGTTAAGAGCTCTTACAGAGTGCAGTATTGACCATAGGTACACAACTCTTCTTCGAAATATATATGATAGCGCAATAACTGCTGTAAAAATGTACTATGGTGACACAGACACATTTCCCTTGGAGAAAGGTATTAGGCAAGGAGACACTATCTCTCCTAAACTATTCACCGCCCTATTACAGAGTGCTATGAGAAAAAATAATTGGGAAAATATTGGATTAAATATAAATGGGGAATTTTTGAACAACTTGAGGTTTGCAGACGACATAGTCCTTATTGCAGATCAGGTAGATCATGCATGCCAACTTCTTCAAGACCTTCAGAGCTCTTGTGCACGAGTTGGCCTTAAAATTAATTTTTCCAAAACACAATACATGACCAATCTGGTACTGGCAAAAAACATTTCCACTAATGGCACGCAAATTGAACAAGTGTATTCCTATAAGTATCTGGGCCACGAGATTAAATTGGGAAGAGACAATCAAACAACAGAGTTAAAAAGGAGAATAGGACTGGCATGGGCAGCTTACGGAAAACTGAGGGAAGTCTTTAAATCAGCTATTCCCATGTGCTTGAAGAGAAAAGTTTTTGATCAGTGTGTACTTCCAGTTCTGACATATGGAGCAGAAATATTGACACTTACCAGAAAAGTAATTAATAAGATACAAGTGGCACAGAGAGCGATGGAGGGGTCAATGTTGGGCGTATCACTCAGGGACAGAGTTTCGAGTCAGATAGTAAGGAGAAAAACTGGTGTGACGGACGCAGTTGAAAGAATTACAACCCTGAAATGGAACTGGGCAGGACATGTTGCTAGGGTCAGAGATGGAAGATGGACAAAGAAAATTTTAGAGTGGAGGCCTAGACACGATGCTTATCGTAGTCGAGGACGTCCTCCAACAAGGTGGTCGGACGATTTAAAGCGCATCCAGTCTAACTGGAATTAAGTTGCTCAAGATCGGATGCAATGGAATTATTTACGGGAGGCCTATGTTCAGCAGTGGACGCAAAATGGCTAATGATGATGATGATGATGAGTTTCATCTTGCCGTTTGCACGAGCCTTTGTGTTGTGACTGTGTCGGGTTTTGTTTCTGAGGCATATGTCAATATTGGCCTTACTTCTTCTTCTTCTTCTTCTTCGTCGCGTGTCATATCAGAATTATCCGACGTTGGCGATCACCATTGCGAACGCTTCTTGATCGTCTGCAATAGGGAATAATTATGCTGCATTTGTTATCTGAGTCCATTAACAAATGTTTTTTAATCAAGAAACTTGTTTTCTTCCTACACCTCTACGGCCCTCTATATTGCCTTTAAGGATCAGTTGTAATATTTTATATCGACATACCCTTACTATTATGTCCCAGATAAGACATTTTTTGATGTTTAACAGTCTTTAGCAGTTCTCTATCTTTGTTGACGCTCCTTAGTACTTCTTCATTAGTTTTCCTTGCTGCTTAAGTTATCTTCAGCATTCGTCTATGAACTCACATTTCCAATGCTTTAATTTTATTCATGATCGATAGTTTTAGCGTCCACACTTCTGCACTATACAAAAGTACAGACCAAACACAGCACTTCACCATTCTTTGCCTTAGTTCTAAACTGAGATGGTTATTGCAAAGAAATGACTTCATTTTCATAAAAGTAGTTTTAGTCATTGCTACTTTACGTTTAATTTCTATGTCTGGATCTAGTTGGTCCGTTATCACAGTTCCCAAATATATCATTTTGTGAAGTGTCTTAACTTGGACTCCGTTTAATTGAAGCTTTGAATCGGGATGTGGGTCACGACTAAACACTAAAAATTTGGTTTTGTTTGAGTTTATTTTAATGCCCATTTCCTAGCCTACCTTGTAAATACAGACATTGCTTAGGTTAGTGATAGTTCTTAGATAACATTTATTTACAAATTTTTCTGTTTGTATGCTTTTGCCCGATATTTCAATATATTGTACAAATCAAATTTTTTCTCAAGATAAAAATCAGAGATACACTAACCTTCTACTACGGACGTGGTGTCCACATGACCCCGACTGAATTCAAATTACGCGCAATTTTTTATTTTTGTTGTTATAGGTTTGTGATTGGTAGCTACCTTCAAGTTATAGTGACGTCGATCGCTTCATATTATTATTTATTATTATTATCAAAAGTTTGAAAGGGGTCATTTTGGCACCACGTCAGTGTTTGTGAAAAATTTACGAAAATGGCAGGTTCATCCAAAACAGCTGATAAAACCTATGAAGAAACTCTGTTAGGATGGAATGATGAGGTAGAAAGTGAAGTTGGCGATATGGAAGAGTCAGGTGGCTCTTTAAATGACATTGAAAGTGAGCATTATACAGATTCGGTAGTAGAAGATGATAGTAAGGGAGCTAGTGATGACTTGTCGGACAAATCCGATTCTGAAAGTGGTGAAGAATTTGAAAATGGAATGAGTTATTATGGTAAAGTAGTCGTCACAACCTTTTGTACAGGGAACAAGAACAGAAAAACATAACTTACTTTCGTATTTACCAGGACATCGTGGTGGTGCCAAAGAGTTGGGCAAAAGTGCATCGCCTTTACAAATATGAAGGTGTCTAATCGATAATTAAATTTTAGCTTAAATTCTTATACATACTAATCCAAAATTATCTGAGTTAAGAAGAAACTATAAGCGGCTTAATAAACCAGAACTGGACGACCTTGATATTATTGCACTTGAAGCTTTTTTGGGCATATTATACTACAGCTCTGTTTTCAAATCAAACAACGAGGACATTCAGTGTTCAACAGACGGCTGTGGCCGTGATATATTCCGTTGTGTGATGTCTCAGTAGAAATGCCAATGATTTTAAGTTGTCTACGTTTTGACAACCCCGAAAACTGAGCGGAAAGAAAAGAAAATGATCCTACTGCAGCAATATCAGGTATTTTTAATAAATTTATAAATAAATGTCAGAAACAGTACTGTATGGGCCATTATACCTGTAATAATAAGATTCTCATAGGTTTTAGAGGGCGTGTAAAGTTTCGCATGTACATGCCAAATAAACTCAACAAGTATGGTCTGAAGGTCTTGATTCTTACTGATGCCCGTACTCATTATTTTTTCAATGGATATATTTATACCGGCAAAGGCAGCGATGGCAAATTATTAACAGATGAGGTAAAACAATCCATGGTAAAACTTATTCAACCTATTATAAATACCAACAGAAATTTAGCTGAAGACAATTGGTTCTCCTCTATTGAACTTGCAAATGAGTTGCGACAAAGAGGATTAACGTATGTAGGTACGTTTAAGAAGAACAAAAACGAAATTCTCACCGAATTTTTGTTCAAACAGAAAGAGAGAAGTAGGGAGTTGTATCTAAGGTTTTACTAAACATATTAGAATTGTGTTTTATGTTCCAAAGAAAAGCAAGGCTGTACTTTTAGTTTCTACGATCTATCAACAAAAATACACTAATTTTAAAACTGTCAAACCTGAAATGATTGTCTTTTATAATCAAACCAATTTTATTTTATTGTATTATCGACATCGCAGAAGTTAATTCATATATATTACACCAAAGCTATCCAGAAGCAAATAACATACTACAGGCAGAATTTGTGAAGCTGCTCGCCAAACACCTCGTTGAACGACATTTGAATAGAAGAATTATGAACCAAAGACTTCCAAGAGAATTGGGAATAAACATCAGTAGAATACTGAACAAACAGATGATTGATGAAAACGTGCATCCAATATGAACCAAAATCGAAAAAGACGTGGGCTCTGTGAACGAAAAAATGACAAAAAGACTAAGAATTCATGTGATGTTTGTAAGATCAACTGTAGAGTTAATATTTGTAAAGAATATGCAAAGTAACTTTTTATCTGAATTCCATAAATAAAGTTTGTATATTGTAGTTTTTTATATGGGGGATTATTTTTTTGTTGTTTATTTTGTTTTTTTTTATATTTCGTATATTTGAGGTTTAATTTTCCATAACTATTTTATAAACATTTTAAACAATAAAAAAATTGTAACATTTTTAATAAACCGTTTCATTATTTAGGACATTTTGGCATGTAATTTGTAATATGTTTAATAACTAACAATTTGGAAAAATATTATAAAAAAATGCATACACTAATGTAAAATATATCAAAGAAATTATATTGAACATGATTTGTCATATTTTTAAAAAATGTTGGCAATACCAAATAGAAATTAGATGGGGTCTACATGGCACCACATCCGTTATGTTCCAGAACGTACACTCAGCGGTAGAAGCTAATTTCATAAAGTTCTTACTAACGGATTTTCGACGTTTTTTTCTTTATTACTAGTTTAGACGATATAATACACCTGCTAAGCAAAGTGATTGTTTCAGATTCACTGTCGGATTTGTCGACCCTAGCTAGCGACTATTCATCCTGTCACCAATCAGACGACACCGGCAGGGACGCCAACCAACCTAACCGCAAGAAACGCTCGCGAGCCGCGTTCACACACGCGCAAGTCTTCGAACTCGAACGCAGATTCAGTCAACAGCGATATCTCAGCGGTCCCGAAAGAGCTGATTTGGCGGCGGCCCTCAAGCTGACGGAGACGCAAGTCAAAATTTGGTATCAAAATAGAAGGTAAGAATTTTATATCGATTCTTTTACAATTTATACACACAAATATTTGGGATCACTGATTTTTGTTCTTACACTTCAATTCACAGGCCCACATTTTTTTTTTCATGAAAAAGTGTTTTAAGTTGAATAGGTGTCCTATAGTAAATGTGATGTGCTGATCACGAATCTGTACTTTGTATTTTTCCAGCATGTCAAGTTATTAAGAGAAATGGGTTTGAAATTTTCATAGAAACTGCCAAAAATACTGAGAAAATATTTATTGACACTTTATTTTATATAAAATTATACTACAAAATTGAGTTTAATAAAAATTCAGTATAACCTACATTAGACAATATTTGTTTTTTTTTTTATTAAAGCCGTTCTCTTTTTTCATGAAAACTGCGTTTTTGTGTTCTCCTTTTTATGGATTTTTGTGATTGAGTCGCTCTTCAAGGTCCAGCAGTAATCAGCCATCATTCTTATATCCCATCTTCCTTGGTAACGTCTCTTCATCTCCTTTATATCTTGATGGAACCTCTCTCCCTACTCCTCGCACAGCTCCAAGACTTTTGGGAAAATAGTCAACGTAAGAATCCAGAAAATGAAGTTTGACGCTCATATTGCATCCCAGCTTTTTTTATAATTGTCGACCATGTTGCCTACAATTTCTTTATAGTTTGGAGACTTGTTGTTTCCAAGAAACCATCTATGACTTCTATGAAAGAATGCAAACCTGCTCCATGCAAACAATTAACATTTCTAGTAAACCTTTCATTTCAGGAAGGGATTTTTCCTCAAATTCTAAATACTGCTTTAGTTGTGCCTATACATAAAAAAAGTGACAAATCAAAATTGGATAACTCTCGAGACCTATCACGTTTACCTGTGTTTTTAAAAATGTATGAGAAGGCATTTAATACACATCTCCTCTCGTATATTAATAAGCACAACATTATAGAAAAGTCTCAATTTGGTTTCCGTGAAGGTATAAGTATGCAAGATGCACTACTAGCGCTGTGCAATAATATTTTATCGATTTTTGATAAGATTGATAAAGTTATCTGTTTTTTTTTTGACTGATCACGAGCTTTTGAAACTGTAAATCAGTCAATACTACTGAAAAAACTTTATCATAGTGGTGTTACAGCAACTGCGTTAAAGTGGATCCACACCTTTTTATCGAAAAGGTTTAAAAAAATTAAGGTCAATGTGAATATATTTTCTTCAAAAGAAAGTATCCTCTCAGGAATTCCACAGGGAAGTATCATTGGCCCTCTTTTATTTTGAGTTTCGGCAATGATTTAAATTAACTGATAAAAGATAGCTCAACATGTTTGGTTCGGAATCCATTAGATATTTTTACTGAGGCAATAAGCGTTTGAGTAGAAACCGTGGAACAGCAATCAGGTTGTTATGTCACTCAATTTGCTGACAATACTACAGTTGCACTAAATTCCAATAATTTTTTTCATGTAGTACAAAAAGCAAACGGTCTTGTAAAAAGTATGATACATTACTGTTTAAATAATGCAATAATCTTAAATGGACCAAAGACCAATATGGTAACCTTTTCACCTTCTACTATGCAGAGTCTATCAGTAAAACATGGCAATAGGTCTGTGGTAAATAGCCACTCACTAAGTTGTTAGGTGTTTACCTAGATTCTAATTCTTGGATGTCTTGGAGCTCTCATGTTGATTATGCAGTGGGAAGATTGTCTGTGCACTATTATGTTCTAATGCAACTTAGGAATTTTATCTTCCTAAATATCTTAAAACTTACTATTTTGTTCATGTATAGTCAATTTGCAATATTGCTTAGTTTGTTGGGGAAATTGCCTGCGAATTAATGAGGTGCTTGTTCTTAAAAAAAATTTCTCTGTATATTTTTAGTTGTGTTGTTTTTGTTAAGTCACATAGATGCAATTTTATTTGCAGAAATGATGTTTCCTTAACGAGTGGCTACTATTTTCGATACAAAAATAATTTGGAGACCCCTTTTCGTCACTTGACCGTTGTGGTCAAGGGCTTACCCAACATGCATTCGTTTGTATCATAAATTATCAAATTATGTTAAGGAGTCAAATATTTATGTATTTAAGAGAACAGTTAAGGACACTTCTTGTAAACACTTTCTATTCGTTAGAGGAATGCTTGCAGGCATCTTTTTAACAATTTGTATGTTTTTGTGTATATTTTATATGTTTTTTTGTTAACTCTTTTTATGTACTTATAGTTTTTACTGATCATAGATTGTATTTTGACGAATTTTAATACTTGTAACAGTCAGATGAAATAAAAAATATTGATTGATTGATGCTTCAGATTCACCTTGGGTCATTGTATTCTGGAACAATCTGTTCGATTTTAAGGTTCGAATTTGATGGCCTACAACAATTTCTTCTTAAGTTTAACTTTAGAAAGTGCAAAGAATTTGTCGCACAGATATTTAAAGCAGTCACTTTGTTTATCTAAAGCTTTCACAAAATGCTTTATTAATCCTAACTTTGTGTGAAGAGGAGGCAAAAGAACTAATTTTGGGTCAACCAGTGTATCAAGTTGCACATTTTTTGTCCCGATACAAGTCTTTTTCTGAGTGGCAACTCTTTTTTATCGTAATGTAAATTACGTGCTCGACTGTCACACTCGCATAAAAAACATGAGTACTTTGTGAATCCAAACTGCAAAACCAAAAGCATCGATATTATTTTGAGATTTCCACAGAGTTGCCAACAATATTCGCTATACTTTCTTTATTTAGCAACAGCTCAAGATTCTCAAATGTTTCTTTGAGATGCACAGAGTGAGCAACAGGCAATGTGGCATAAGCATTACCATTGTGCAACAAGACACCCTTCAGACTCTTCTTAGAAGAATCAATAAATAACCATCATGATGTGGAATCGTAATTGTCAGCTCCTAGTTTCATAACTACTTCAGGAATTTTATGACAATACACCAGTGAGCCCTCTTGAAAACAATATTTCGCGAACTCTTTTTTACGATGTCTATACCACGAAAATGTGGTACCTGGAGCCAATAGGTTTTTACCTTTTACCTTTCAGTCGAGAGTTTCTATACCACGAAAATGTGGGTACCTGGAGCCAATAGGTTTGTATCTCACTAAGTCTCTCACTAAGTCATTTGGTTCAGCTTGGATAAACTCTTGAGGTTAGTCTATCTCATAATTTATATCCAGCTTCATCGGTTGTTTCGCCTGAACTTTCTTCTGACGATTGCTGTTGGATGGTGTAAAGAAAAGGTGGAGGAATAGGCATTCCTGGTCCATGAGATACAGGTCGTTTAGCAGAAGGTAAATTAGGATATTGAATTTGTGTTTATTTTTTGAGTTGATAACCGTTGATATCGCAGGAGCAAAAGTAGCAGTCGTTTACATGGTTTTTTGGTTCCCTCCATACCATAGGAATACCGAAGGGTAAAGAGTTACGTGTACCTGTTGTACTTTTTCTCAGTAGTTCGACACATTGAAAGCACACTTTGTATAGAGCCCAAGTTTTGTCTTGATCGCCAAGTTTTACACCAAAGTATGCATGATAAGTTTACTTTAAAGTCTGTTATGTTTTGCTGATGCTTTCCTATAGTTAAATCACCACACACTTAACAAAATATATCAGGACTGTGTTTTTTTACTTTATTGATGACATTATTGCGCGATAAACACTCATAAACCAAATACAACTCGATGCTATAAAGGAGTTACGCTAATTTACTAGCGTTGCCAAGTCCAAAAAATTTATTTTCCCAAATTGTGTTTAAAAAGTTGCCAGATTTTGAACAGAATTCCCCAGATTTATATATTTCCGTTTTTAACAAATCTTCTCCTACATATGCAACCGAGTTGCGCTGTTTATTTCCTGCCATGTAAGTTACCGATATTCTACCCAGCCATAGGAGTTTTCAACGCTTCTTATTTGTTCCGAGCTTTGTCATATGGCGTATATTAATATTATACACTGATTATATGACATATGACAGAAGCTCGAAACAAATGTGAGGCGTTGTAAAGTACTATTGGTGACACTGACGGCATAGTAATTGTTTTTGACATTATTGACAGTATGCCAGTTATTATATAGAATTACAGAAAATGACAAATGACAATGCCTTATAACTCTTAAGAAGTCTTGATAATTTTATTTGTTTCTTGTAAGTCGGAGAACTCCGAATCTACACAGCTGGTTCATAATAGATGACAGTGTCAGGAAACTCCAGGCAATATCATTATTCGCGGTAGCGCCAATTCACCAAACTGTATTGAGTGTGGTCTATATGTGGAATCAGTCATTCAGAATCAGACTTTCAAAAATAACTATTTTTTGCTAAATTTAAAAACATATTTCAGCCAACAAAAAAGTTTTTCCCCATTCCCTAAGACTTCACAATTTTCCCCAGTTCTGGCGAAAAAATCCTCAGACCTGGCATCCCTGTAAACTCTATTTACGGAATACACAACTGCCAATGCAGTTAATTTGACGAGATCGGCAGTATTGCCGTTCTAAAGACATTAACATAATGTATTACAATATTTTCTTTCGAAATATAAGTATTTTAAAGAAATAATTTTAATGCAATTTACGAAATATCAATAAGGTACTTGTTTGCGCTAGTGTAGGTATAATATATCATAAGTAATATTCAATTTTGTGAAAAATTTTGACGTGATGAGCTTAAACCGAATTCATATTCAGAATCAGCGTATCCGTATTAGCTAAGGACACATGTCAAACTCAAAACACCAAAAATCATGTCGGCCTGTAATTAATAATTATTAATTTTCGCTTTTTCTGTTTTAGGTACAAAACCAAACGAAAGCAGCTACAGATGCAAGAATCCAGCCTCCTGAACCAAAGTGCGAAACGTGTAGCTGTAAAAGTACTAGTCAAAGACGATATCCCCGTTTTTCTACAACAGAAGAACCCAGTCTATCAAAAAACAAGTTACTACCCCGACCAAGCCAAGAACGATTTCTTTATGGTTCAAAAATATCCAAAATCCATCCAGGAATCGATGCTGAGTCTGTGTCAACAGTATTCTAGTTCTATACAACTTTTTCCTTATTTTAATTATTACCATCCGTCGTTGGTTGGGAATATGAGCCATCACGAAGAAGAGACGAATGTCGAGAGTAGGGAAGATCTTAATTAGTGGAGGAAAAATCACTTGTGGCACTGAAATAATCACAAAAATATACTTGAGATACACAAAACAATGTTACATTATAAAGGCCGTTATTTGCGCTAGATAATTGCTCTAAAAAACGTATTTTTTAGTAGTTTTTCTATTATTATTTTCAAAGAAGAAAGAACATTTCTTCTTTTAAAATTAGACATATGTTGCTTATTTCGACATTAAAAATTTGTTGAATGTTATCATTTGGGTTTGTAATTTATAATATTTATATAATTATTGTTACATATTTCCTTTGTGTAACCTTAGCGGTTAAATAAGGTATCACATGATGTTCTTTCCCATTTTAAAAAATCAAAGTTATGACTGTCACCTGAAGAGGGATCGCGTAAAGATCGAAACATTTATGGTATTATATACCACGATTATTTAAAAAACCATCTGTCTGAGCGTTTAGCTTATGTGCTAAAAATAAAAAAGTTAATAAAGAGGTAACTTATTTCATCGCATAGTATGTTATCAAATGGTAAAGTAAAAGCAGGAAAATCTTTCCCTATTGAATTTAACCTTTAATTATAAATTAATTTTAACATTGCAACAGACTACTTAAAATTTTCGTTGTTACTTAATCAATATCACTGACCTAAAGTTTTATAGATATATTTTATTACTATTTTAATGGGAATAAGCCATAATAAGTCTATTGACGTTTCAATTTTCACTTCGGAAAACGTTCTTAAAATACAAACATTAATAAATTAAAGAAATTTTGGTTTTTAGTACTGTAAATTTTTCTATAAATTCAATTTTATCTAATTGATGGATTCGATCGCTACTTGATGGAAATTAATTTTATGTAACAATAAAACACTGAGGACTTTGTTTTCAAAACTTCCACAAAATTTATTATATCTTATCAACTACAGTGTTTCGGTAGAGTTAATATTGCTGAGTTGCGTTCCTGGGACGACTTTATTGGAAGATAGTTCATTAGATTACATGAAATCAACTTTAACTGGAGAAAATGCGTCAGAAAAATCATACCATATTAGTCGTCTTTAAAAAGACAACCACATGCCATGATGACAGTAAAATTCTCCTGTTAGTGATTCCATAGTAAATCATGAGGAAAAAAAACAGTAAAAAACCTCATAATACTATCCTGACGTGATGAGTATTTGGTCTTATATTTAATTTACTCTTAATAAGATTCTACAAGGAAATAGCTTTAAAATGATATATTTGATGTCTAATTCAAAATTTATGTATCAAGTAAACTGACTTTTGGTTACCTTTTCTAATACATTATAGTAGATTATTTAAGAAAAGAGTTTCTCTGCTTGATTTATAGTTAAATATGGCTGACAAGTACAAAATAGACAAGCAGAATTGAAGTGAAATTGAAAATTTATATCTATATTTGAGCTACTGTAGTTTGTATAATGTTCTTGGTATCTCAAGTTTGTTTTAAAAACAATTGTTACCTTAATTTAAGCACTAGGATCTCGTAGGTTTAAACAAACCATTACAATATTGTTTTTATACAAACGTTTTTACGCAAAATGTTGATAATGCACAATTTAACCATCGTGGAGACTATTTTTGGTACGATCTCTAAAAATATTCGTCTTTACCGCTTTCAAAATCAATCATTTGACAAAAGGAACTACTCAAGTATTACCTGTAATGTTGTTTTTTGTAAACAGTAAAATTATGTTAGTACCAAATATTTTTATTTGTATAAATTGTATAATATGTATATAATTTTTTGTTTTATAGTATTTAGATATTAAAAATCACCTCTATTTGCACATTTATGTAATAAAATAGATATTTCAATTAATTGTTGGTTTTAATATAGACTAGGAGAATAAAGCAACAATACCGATAGAGTAATAACAAAATCACTTTGGCAAAGAGGCCAAACAAACAAAAAATAAACAATAAAAACAAAATAAATTTATGTATCATGAGCAACATGATTGTACTATTTACAATAGATCGATACAAGTCTTAGCATATGCTGATGACATTGACATAGTAGGGGCGTAGCAAGCGAGATGTTGAGCAATATCTCCTAGAATTGGAAACAGCGGCGAAACAGGTCGGTCTAGTCATCAACGAAGACAAAGCCAAGTACATGTTGGTTACAAAGGATCCGATAGCAAATGAGGAACGAGAAACAGTCTTTGGAAGTCATACCTTTGGACGTGTTGACAACTTCACATACCTTGGGTCGCTATTGACTGCTACCAATAAAACAAGCGAAGAAATCAAAAGACGAATAAATCTTACAAATAGGGCATACTATGGACTCCAAAAGCATTTCCACTCAAGAAACATTCAAAGAAGAACTAAAATTATTATATACAAAACATTGCTGAGCCCGGTTCCTCACATATGGAGCAGAAACATGGACACTAACGCAGAAAGATGAAAGACTTTTGGGAATATTTGAGCGTAAAAAACTCCGCAAAATATTTGGAGCTGTAAACGACCAAGGGCAGTGGCGCAGAAGTTATAATTTTGAATTGTATAGCTCTTTGATGAGCAGATGTCATAACGTTCATTAAAACACAGCGACTTAGATGGGCTGGACACATAATACGAATGCCAGAAAATACCATTGCTAAAAAGCTAAACCACAGGAACACCTGTAGGAAAAAGAAGTAAAGGCCGACCGCGAATTAGGTGGCTAGATGGAGTAGAAACCAACTTACGAATATTAAAAATCAGAAGATGGCAACATGTTGCCAAAAAACGAACAGAATGGCGACGAATCTTAGAGCAGGCCAAGATCCACAGAGGATTGTCGAGCCAAAGGTGATGATGATCATGAGCAACAAGTTCTTTTTCTTAGACTTATGGTCATACAGACACAAAAGGAATAAGACAGTATTTATCATTATAATTTACCTAAATGCCCTATCAAAATAAAAGATTACATCGATATTAGGAGAACAGGGACACACTCTTCTCGCCTATATTATCCAAAACGACAATGTTTTCTTTGTTTTTCAGCAAGCTTGGAATTAGCGTCGTCTTAAATCATTCTTTATATAAATCCCCGTCCATTTCGTCGTGGTAATCAGTGGTTTCCTTTTTAGACAATAAAGCGAATTCGACGCTTGGCACAAGATCAGTTTCACTTCCAGCATGAAGAAGAAGAAACTGAGGATCTGCTGTGTTGGAGCTTCCAGTCCAGTAGAGAGCCTTTTTATAAAGGCATCTCGTAGTTCTTGATCGTTCTGTTCCTCCGTTTCTTTTAGACTGAAGCCCCGACGTTAGTCCAAGACTCCTTTTGACCAAACCCAAATCCCAAACTTTGACCATTTTTTAAGTTCAGATAATAGTTTAATACATTTAACACCACAAGTTTTACATACACACTTATACACTGTTTACAACAGATACTGGCAAAGCCCCATGATGTAGGTAGTTTCATCCGCTTGTGAAAATTAAATAGAACTAAGCTTTCATAGTTTTTGTCAACAAGTGTTTGGTCTAATGGCCAGTACCCAAATCGACAAAAAAACTTGAAGAATGTGTTCACAATGGGAGCTATTGAAAATTAATACATATAGATAAGTTATCGACAATGAGTTTTTGATATATTTTACTTTTTCTATACTATTTTTCTTCATGTTATTGTTTAGTTCGACATTATAAATCTTATTTATACGTAGGTGATTGAATCATGCTTTACTCTACAAGCTGGAGTACCCCAGGTTCAATTCTTGCTTCAATATTATACACAGTCTACAATAGTGACATCCCCTGCCCGCAGTATAGATCGAAAGCCTTTCTTCTGTATGCGGATGACACTGCACTCCTCACATCAGGGCCACGTAGAGAGCGTGGACAATTGTCTGTATTCGAAAGAGCACAAAACTATTTAGATCGAGCTATTATGTGGTATAATAAATTGAGAGTGACCATAAACGCCTACAAAACACGACTTATTTTATTCAAATCCTCCAATAACCTTGTTATGAAAAGACCTTATTCTCAGAAACTCGGTTTCCATTTGGAAGTTTATTTTAACAGAATTCTCAACTGGAAAACCGACATTCAAGACACTCTATTGTCATTCTAGACAGTCTAATGGGCAGGACGTCATCTAAAACATGCGTCATACGCATCACTATAACAGCCGCCAAATGAACACCATCATGGCCACCGAAAGGAAAATCCTTAGATTCTTAGATCCTTAGAAATGTATATTAAATTGTAACATTTTTTTTTATTATTAATATATCAAATTATTTTTAATTCCTTTTACCCCCGTGCGATACGCCGATGATTAGGAATCCCGTGTTTACGATAGGAAAATATTATTGTAGACACCAAGCTGAAATGGAATTCCCTAATTAAGAAAGGTTTTTAATCCTTCCGTCTTAATACTCTGTATGAAAAGAACAAATGCTTTCCGGTATGCAGTTTCTTTTTCATAAATTGGTAATTTTCGCCGAAGGCCGTATCTTTTGACAATAATATAATCCTAAGGATTTTAATATTCTCAGGTCCAATTGTTAATACCGATTATTTTACCTCAACTTTCCAATAGTCGTTAAGGCCTTACCTTCTGAGAAATACATACGACGGTCCGATGATTTTAAGTGGGGGATATACCTTCTTCTTCTTTTTTCTTGGATAGTTGGTGAAATTTTTAGGGAACCAACTTACTTCTCGGTGGGCTCTTGTTGAGTGAAGTGATATCTCGTGATGCGCTTTGCTCACGATATTTCTTATCTTATCGTCGCTGTGAATTATTTTCTAAGTGTGTGTACACTTCATATTTGAGTTTTCTTTCCTTAGACTATATTAAATTATATATAGTTCTACACTACCTTTAATGGTTATTAAATTCAGTGTTTAGTACCAGAAAAGTATTAAATTCAGTGTATTAAGCTGCCTTCGTCAAGATCTACTGTAAGTAATCTTTATCTACAATTATCTGGGCGAGTAATATGGTATGGTACCATATCACCTGCCATTATCTGGACGTATCATCTATATCTTCACCTGTAGATTGCCGATTTTTGAATGTAATTGAACCATTCAAGAAATTTCTATAAATATTACCTATGAACATACAAGTCTCAGTTTTTTATTAAATAATAGTGCGAGATAGTTAATTGACTTAACCAAGTGCGGTTTGGTTTATGTTTTCATTCCTGTAACCTTTTTGTTTTTTTTGTAAATTTAGAGTTAAGTAATTTTTGCTATCTTTTGTATTTCCTATAATTT